AGGTGGAAATGACATCATAGACCAATTCATAAGAATACAATTACATATCACGGTGAGCCAATATCACATGCACAGGGCTGTTGGACAGAACATCAATTATATTCAGCATCAAATTAGAATCAGCACCAAGTTCTATATACTCCTAGATAAATCAAAACAGAATACAATAGAGGATATCCATGAAGCTTATGGGAAGGATACTTTATCTACCCCTGACATATGTATAGGTACCGCTATTTCAAAGAGGGAGAAAGTCAGTTGAAGATGAACCAAGACAGGGGTGACCAAAAGCTGTAACTTCCCCTAGTCAGACTGATACAATAAAATAAATATTGGATAAATTCCTATCAGAAAATTGCAGACATGACTGATTCAAGTGTTTGTCGCACACCCCATATAACTCATAATGATTTAAAGATGACATTGATGTGTGACAAATTGGTGCACAGACAATTGACTGAGGAGCAATATTCACATTTTAAGTTGGTCGTTTTGAGACTTTTTTCGTGCAGACCTGGTCCACCATTAACCACCTTTGGCTCAACCCAGCACCACCTTCATGTTGGAGCAAAGTCGTGTAACTTTTGGAGTACATAAGTATAATACAATGCACACTAGAAAGATTAGTAAGATATATGAAAAAACAAAAAAGTTACAGCATTTTTATCATTACTTATTGAACGCCCTGTATATCAACATTGCCTGAAGAAGCTCTTTCGATGTCATAATATTTTTGTTGTTCATAGTTAAATATTCTTTACTCCAAAGATTTTTTCACAGCATTGATGAAGTTACTAAAGATGAAGTTACTAAAGATGAAGTTACTAAAGTCCATGTTTCCAAGTCATGCAGAAGGAAAAAAATGTATCATGAAATATTGAGTCATGTAATATAAGGACAAGAGATAAGAGTTTTACTGGCACGGTTTGACTAGGTACTTTCATAATTGTTAAAAATAATATTTTGAACGATCCAAGGTGTATTTTTTTAAATATTTCTTTTCCAGAAATACTTTATACTTCATGTGATAAAGGATGAGTTGTCAAGGGGATGAGTTGCCCAGGGGATGAGATGTCCAGGGATGAGTTGTCCAGGGGATAAGTTGTCCGTAAGCCCCTTCAAACGCCCTCGGGTGACTTCCTAGGATGCAAATATAAATTACTTGCAAGAAGTGCTAGATTCAAATTAAGATCTAAAACCTGTATATGGAGAAATCTGAGCAATGATCCACTGGACGATAAATGCACTTATCGTATGATCTGTAAGATGAAGCCCTCTGATTGGTCAGTTCTTGTGCTGTACCAATCTGTATTGCTACTGAGGTTGTCTCCGTTGATCATCTCCGTCGCAATACAGAATATATTGGTACGGAGGGGACAATCTCAGTAGCAATACAGAGGACCACACGGTAAAACCATTATTGAATGATTTGAAGTGCAATACAGGAACTATTCTGTCTCGATATTCTGTATTGACACTCGACTTCGTCTCGTTCCAATACAAAATTTCTCGAACAGAATATATCCTGTATTGCACTTCATATCATTCAATAACTTATATTTTAACATACCTATGATGATGTATAGTGCAAAGTGTACACAAGACAGCGGGCCAATATAAGTTTTGAAAAGCCCGCGCCCGCTAACTTTCTGATTGGTCAAGGCGCTGACGTCATAACCAATCAATCGAAGATAAAACTGCGCGAGCAATTTTTCTAAACTCATTTCAATCATTTTCAAACTATTTGTTTGTCAATTCTATAAGAAAACGGTACTCTCTGACCAGTCTACATTATCATAGGTATGTTATAAATCGTTTATGTCACTATCGTGGCGCATATGTCCTCGGTTCTCAGAGATCAATGTCCCTCCCAAGGTCGGGCCATATATCACTGAGACCTCGGGCATATATGCCACGATAGGGACATAACCTCTAAATACTGTGACTTGAATAGCGTATATATATAGAAGATGTGATACAATGACTCTTAATATGTCCCAATTTTAATGATAACCGCATACATATACTATTTTATAACTCAATCATATAGATTCAAACACATGTATACTGTTTTACGCTATACCAATTGAACAGAAAATTGTTTGTATTTTGAGAGATTCCAGCAATGTTTGGTAGACATGATTGTGTCAAAGCAGTTTTTAAAGCAGATTTACCGTCATAAAGGAGTGGTGTCGATATGGAGAACTTTTTGAACATAAAAAATCTAAAAATTTAACACATCGTCAATTTAATGGTCATCCTTTGAATGGTAACAATATAATTTGAAATATATAGTACTATACAGGGTGTCAAATAAGTCCCGTCCCCCCTGCTACAGCTAAAACCTTAACAGACGGTACGTAGTGTGATATACCATTGGAAAGATCGTCCAAAATTATGTTAACTCACCAACTCTCAAGTATTTTGGATGAAATTTACCTATATTTTTATGATGTCTTTTATAGTTAACGTGCCCTCCTTTGAGTAGCTTTTTGCGTCAAAATGACAAGGATATGACCTCAGAAATACGTCAAAAAGTTAATCTTTTTCGCATTCCACTTGTTACATAAAGGTTTTCAGCACTTTCTTTGCATCTCTATTTTCTACACATCTAACCCATCTAGAAATTTGTTAAATTCATCGCCATAACCATATTTAGTCATCTTTTGGTCCCTTGACCTTCCTTATACCCGATTCTTAAAATCCTGCCAAATACGCCAAATTGCCATGTTTCTAGGCATATGGTCACCTCAATTGATACAATGTAAAAATTTGTGAGATTGATTGACGTGTGTCAGATATATGCTAATCAACGTAACTTTGGAAGACCTTTCCAATGATATATCACACTTGGTACCAAATATCTTGGTTTTGGCTGTAGAGGGGGGGGGACGGGACTTATTTGACACCCTGTATAAGTAAAAATAAGAAGAACTAATAAAATACGTTTGAAAATCTAAACATGTTTCTTTATTCCTCAGTAGATTTTTCAAAAATGAGAACAAGAGGTATACAGGTTAGTATGACGTAATATTAATATAATTAATTAATCGTCATGGAAACCAATAAACAATTTATTTGTTTATTTTTGGTTTATGATATATACAGGTAAGTATGACCTAATATAATATAATTCGCTTATATAGTAACCAATAAACAATTTATTTGTTTATTTTTGGTTTAAAAATATACAGGTAAAAAGGTATATATAAGGGTTATGTACTGGGAGGTTTTGGATAAACCCTGTATCCAAAACCGACCGTACATAACAGATGTATTTCATACCTACTGAGGTTCTAGGTACATCATACTTTATAAAGATCCAAAATTCCAAAACATACTTAAGGTACTAGGCGTTTTCGTGGTCTTAAAGTCGAAAAAATGGGGAAAAAATGACAAAAATTCTGAAAAAAATTGAAAAAATATTTTGAAAAAAATTGTGAAAAAAAAATTTGAGAAAAAATTTGAAAAAAAAAATAGGAGCGGGACCGGGATGGATACAGCGTATATCCATCCCGGTCCCTAGATACACTATATATTCCCGCTCGTTATGTACCTAGAACCTCAGTAGGTATGAAATACGACGTAATATTAATACAATTTATTATTGTCAGTAGCTAGTATTTATCCATCACGTACAATTTACCGTTACATGTATAGTAACCAATAAACAATTTATTTGTTTAGTTTGGGTTGAAAAATGTTAATAAAATGATTTTCCATGGCGATTCTTTGTTCGATATCGTCTTCGTGAAATTTAAAAAAGGCATAATTGTGAATTTTGGTTCATGTCCAGCAGCACAATTATCAATATGCTCGCTTACTGGCAACATACGGACAGTAGGGTCACGAATTTGTTGCTTATGGACCCGGACCCTGTTCCGAAGTTTGTCGCCCGTTTGTCCAATGTAAATCTCGTTACATCCAACACATTTCATGGCATATAATACGTTTCTTGATTCACAATTCATTGATACCTTGGCGTTGAATGTTTTGCCATTGTATTTAATACCATTAGAAATATGAACACAGCAACCACATCTTGGTTTTTCACATTTTGTCACAGTTATATCCTCTTTATTAGATTTGAAAGCAGAAGAAGTTATGATTCTTTTCAAGTTTCTGCTTTGACGTTTGATATATATTTTATATATTTGATATACGATATATACAGTATATATACTTTCATCTATATTGTTTTAGAAAACACATCAAACACTTGTTTTGTTCTTGGTATCATGTTTCCAGAGTGAAATGAAACATCTTTCCGAACCGCATTGGAACAAAACGACATAAACACAACATTTTTAGGTCTCTCAATATTGTAATTGTACAAAGGAAATTTTGGTTGATTTTAAAAAGGTATCTTGTTAATAAAATAAAAGGGTTATCTTGATTTTTATCTGTTTTGGGGGATTTTGTTTTAATTTCTTGAATACTTTTTTAAAATCAACCAAACATTCCTTTGTATAACTATAATATTGAGAGGTCTAAAAACATGTTGTATATGCTATTTTGTTCCAACAAGGTTCGGAGAGACATTTTATTTCATTCTCCAGAATTGGTAGAAAGGAGCAAAAACAATTGCACTAAAAAACAAAAAAATGTTAACACAAACAGTTAAAAAATATAAAAAATTCAAAAATAATTTTCGCATTAAATTGTTGGCAATCAGTCAACATTACATAAAATACCGTGTTTTTTACAGAAAGTTTTCAATGATTGGTTTAAGAGAAAAACATGAATTCAGTTCTCCATATCGATACCAATCCTTTTAACTATATATGTAACCATTTAATGGCCTTTTACTTGGATGCACTTAGAATACTAGTGTGCCACTGCTGTAAAAGTGCAATTTCAAAAAATAAAATAAATGGTTTTCAACGTAAATGTGGCTTGGTGGTAAATGAACCAACGGAACTGCTTTATTTTATTTATATTCTATATGTTTTTCGTGCTTCATTACTGATTTGTAAAAATCCATTTCGTTTCAGTTGGAAATCCGACTTCCCATTCAACTTTCCACAGAACAATGGCTTCGAACCATCGAACAAGTATTACTTTTACTGCTCATCGTAGGCAGGTGGATGTTACCAAAAGGAAAACTTACACATGATCAGTTGTCACAGCTCCTATTAGTGTATATTGGTACTGCTGCGGACATTGTGGAGTTCTTTGAGGCGTTCAAGGAAGACGTGGTAAGCACTGAAGTGTTCTCAGAAATTCATATTAAGCTTAATTGTGATTTTAACTTTCTATAGTCACCGTTTGTACTCTTTGAAATGATATTGATAAACAATTTCTGTTTCCAAGTGATAAACAAATTATTTCACGGGCAATTGCCATTCTAATAAACCCTTGGCCACGCATAAGAGATAGGAATAAGCATTAAGCAAACATCACACCTTGGTTCTATCTACATCTACATATTGTGTCACTTTTGAAGATCCGACAACAGATTGTTTTTTAAGATATACTACGATGAAGAAAAAACTTTTATTTTCATCAGGTAAAACACAATCGCCTCTTGTCTATGGTTATCCTTGGTATCTGGTCGTGGAGTCTACTTCAGTTCACTCTCGTCCTCACAGCTACCCGGGCTAGGAAGGACCAATCCGGGGTACTTACGCGAAGTGTCAGCAAAGATGACGATCGTTGTTGCACTCCCGATGTGTTCGGAATTATCATATCCATCGTCATGCAGGATGCTCCTTTCCTTATCCTAAGGTTGATCCTCATATTTATGTTCAAAGTTGTTAGTTATACTAACTTTTTCTTCACTGCCAAGAACAGTTTAGTTATCTCACTACTGCTCTATAGACTAATAGTGGTTCAGATAGAGAGACGAAATATAGCAAAGAAGGAAATACAGCGGTTACAAATCAAGGACAAATCAAATCATTCAAGACTGGAGGGCTTTGATGTGTCTAGAAATCACGAGTCCAAGACAAAACACAGACCTAATGGAACATACCACTATACAAGTCTTCCGCAGGAGAAGGATACATATGTTACACACGACGAAACAAAGAAGAAAGGCAAGAACAAAAAAGTGGTAAAGAAGAAAAGAAAGAAAAAATCCGAATCAGCGAAATCTCCACGGCAAATGAAAGCCCCAAGCCCCCCGCCAAAGTACTCAACGGGGGCACATAGCTATGAGAATAGCTTTCCTTTAGAAATGACAATAGAAGGAATTTCAGATCCTGTAATTTTCTATCCTTCTAAAAAAATTGAAAAGGCTTCACAAAATACCTCTAACCCTTCATCGCCATCACGTGATATCGGAAAACACGTGACGAAGCGAATTGAAAGTTACGACAATCTTTCACCAGTCTCACCAAAGAAAGCCATACCGATAAATATACCCCCAAGTCCAAAGGTGGCCCAAAACATCAGTGTCAAACCGAAGCCCCAACAAGCAATGATATTAGACCCGGCTCCTCTTGCAATGCGCGCTTCACCAGTATCATCTCGTGTAAAGAGCCCTGAGAAATCACCAATGAGACCTAGAAAGATATCAAGTTCTGATCTAGATCTTCAATCAACACTGAATCAAATGACATCGCCATCTTCATCGAGTCCAAAACGCCGTATTCAAAGAGGCCCAAAGTTAGAAAGCCCAAATATAAATCAGGGAGAGCTTTACAAAAATCCTCCCTTGGCGAGTCCCGAGGAGCAAATGACTTCACCAGTTGGAAGTCCTGAAATAGTTCGCATAGCTAATGCACCAGTGCACAAACCGGAGAAGCCAGTGTCTCCTCCTGAACAATCCATTGCGACCCATCCGCGATTGGCGAGTCCCGAAGATGCGTCTCCCAAACGACTTATTCCACCGCCGAGTCCCGAAACAGCTCGTAGAGTGAATTATTTCCCCCAAGACAGTCCCTCTGCTGCACGCCGTATGGTGGGAAATCCAAAACAACCGAGTCAACAAGAATATGTTGATAGGGGTCAATATTTGGTTGAATTAAAAAAGAACTTAAGCTTAGAAGATCTAGAATTCCCAGTCTGACTTCAATGATCAAATCCTCTTTGGATCTAAGTCAGGGTTAATTCCCAATTTGTAAAACCCAGTGATGGCATCGTTCTTTTTTGCCATCCCGCTGATTTGGCAACCTGAATTGGTACATTCTGTCGTTTGGAGGCCATGTTTACAGCAGAGTTCGTGCGTGGGACATTCGAGGAATCACAAGCGTATATTATTAGACTTTTATTAGAATTAATGCATATAGCTTTTGCTTATTTATCAGCTTACTTATTTGCAATCGAGTGATATCACGATGCGGTAGTCAAGCTGCGTGCCTACTAGGCACTCGGTTTGACAAACTGCGCAGCTATTTCAAAATGACAGGCGGGGAGGACACAGCTCCCAAAAGGATCCAGAAAACTGGGAATACATGATCAGTTTCGTTCATGAAACAGTACCATCATGTGGAGACGAAGTTACTTTACTAATAGTACTCAATCTTTTCCCGATGTTAACCTAGTTATCTCATATTAAGATGTGAGTACCGTAATCCAACACCAAATTCGAAAATTCAGAACAATACTTTGCACATATGGCGTTTGTGATCAACTATAAAACGCTTACCCCCCATAGTGTTATATATCAAAATGTACCTGTTCATATAGGGGTTCGATTGATCTACATCAAATTATAGGAAGTCGGGTTACTTTTTGAGATATCAGCGTTCATTTATTGTAACTCGTGTTTGCTACCATTTCCTCAATTCTGAGATGACGGGCAGACGCGTAGTAAACATGCTCACGTCGGAAATATTTTGACCTACATCGCTATTTTCGTAATTCAAACGAAAGTTGAACTCCTCCTCTTTATTTTGATACCAAATAGTGACATACTAGGTACCCTAGAAGCCAACTATGGCGTTATTTTGAACAAAACTACAAATTTTTAAATGGACTATATAGAACCTCACACCTTAAGGGTCCTAAGCAGCTTTCATGTTCAAAATTTACATTGTTGCGTCATATTCATGTTTGTTTATCGTCATTTGCCATTTACTCAGCCATTGTGTTTAAATATAAGGGTTGTCCTGAACTAATTGTTATAAGACCAAGAGTTTTTTATTAATGAAGGCTGAAAGGACGATTCTCGGTTTGGAGAACGAAGTTCATCAATCTAAATGAGCATTATCCCTGCTTCGGACAAATTAGATTTTTTTACATAATATAGATTTGAATGTCTTCTTTTGAATAATCATAATTTAATTTGGGTAATATTTCTAGATTTTTCGCAAAAAAAGATTAGCGCAGTACACTGATGAACTTCTTTCCCCAAATCGAGACTTGTATTTTATTGAATCGGTCTAATTGAACCTTATCCCTGCTTCAGACCAATTTGTTATTTTTACATCTTGTAGATTTAAATGTCCTCTTTCGGATATTCATAGTTTGATTTGGGTAATATTTCTATTTTTTCATGAAAAAATTATTAGCCCAGGAGACTGTTCTCCAAACCGAGAATCGTCCTTTGATCAGTATTATATTTGGGAATTTTCTGATCAATGTACATAATTTAGAAATACAATGCCTTGCCTTGCAACAAAAAGTTATGCATGTCGGAACTTGCATGGTCACTGGTACTCACCTGGTTACGCTGACATCAGCGTAACAAGATGGAAGAACTTCCGGGATTCGTTTTCGGTAAGATATTTTTATTTCTCGATTTTACACCACTTGTCAGTCAAGTTGTGGACAATAATTTGGCTCAAAGTTGAGGAAGATAGTCTAGTTTGAGAATATGCAGGCGGTTCTATGTTTGGTATATTAACGAAGACGCAATTCACATATTTAGTCCCTCGCTTTTGTTACGCTGACCTAAGATCAATCTTACGCTGACGAAGGTGTGACTTGGAGCTGTTGTGACGTTGACGAACCATATTAACATTGGCGTATTTTAGGCAACAACCATGAATACATAGTTCTAAAATCACGAGGGTGATGCACTGAGCGTTCAGAGACAGGTACTCGACGAGAAATGAGGATCCTATATTTACAGATCCCATCATTTTGGTGTGAAATGCAGTAAGGTTAAAACTTGGCAAGATGAGGGACATCGGATACAAATTGATTCGAACTTTAAGTTGTACTCAAACCATTTTACTCGGTTTAGTTATGCCATCTAATTCTTTGATAGTGAACCATCAACAATTCCAAAAGTTCATTTTAACATGATATTGGTGATATAAAGTCAGCTCATGTCTGTTTTTCATAGCATAACATAGCATAGCATAGCATAGCATAGCATAGCATAGCATAGCATAGCATAGCATAGCATAGCATAGCATAGCATAGCATAGCATAGCATAGCACAGCACAGCACAGGATAGCATAGCATAGCAGCAAAACATAGCATAGCAGCAAAGCATAGCATAGCATTGTACTGCACTGAATAGCATAGCATATTATTGAATTGCATTGTATTGTATTGTATTGTATTGTACTGCACTGCATTGTATTGTATTTCACTGCATTGTTATGTCACCACCAAAAGTGGTGACATATTGTTATGGTCTCCGTTTTTTTGCGACGGCGGTTGGTGGTTGGAGGTTGGCGTCCGGCGTCCGGCGTCCGGCGGTTGGTGGTTGGAGGTTGGCGTCCGGCGTCTGTAACAATTCCATACAACTTCCTATAACTTAACAAATACTGTTTAGACTGACTTCAATTGTTTTCTAAATCATCTACATGTTCTCAGAAGTTCAAATCTGACTTTAGATTTGACATTTGACCTTCAATGACCTTCTCAAGGTCAAAAAGGTCTTTTTTCAACTGGCTTCACATTGACTAAATTTTTTTTCAAAATCATCTACATGTTCTCAGAAATTCAAATCTGACTTTAGATTTGACTTTAGATTTGACATTTGACCTTCAAATCTGACTTTAGATTTGACATTTGACCTTCTCAAGGTCAAAAAAGGTCAAAAAGGTCTGTTTTCAACTTGCTTCAAATTGACTAAAAAATTTTTTCAAAATCATCTACGTGTTCTCAGAAATTCAAATCTGACTTTTGATTTGACTTAAGATTTGACATTTGACCTTCAATGACCTTCTCAAAGTCAAAAAAGGTCAAAAAGGTCTTTTTTCAACTTGCTTCAAATTGACTAAATTTTTTTTTCAAAATCATGTACATGTTCTCAGAAATTCAAATCTGACTTTAGATTTGACATTTGACCTTCAATGACCTTCTCAATGTCAAAAAAGGTCAAAAAGGTATTTTTTCATCTTGCTTCAAATTGACTAAATTTTTTTTTCAAAATCATCTACATGTTCTCAGAAATTCAAATATGACTTTAGATTTGACATTTGACCTTCAATGACCTTCTCAAGGTCAAAAAAGGTCAAAAAGGTCTTTTTTCAACTTGCTTCAAATTGACTAATTTTTTTTCAAAATCATCTACATGTTCTCAGAAATTCAAATCTGACTTTAGATTTGACATTTGACCTTTAATGACCTTCTCAAGGTCAAAAAAGGTCAAAAAGGTCTGTTTTCAACTTGCTTCAAATTGACCAAATTTTTTTTCAAAATCATCTACATCTTTTCAGAAGTTCAAATTTGACTTTACAAGTTCTCAGAAGTTCAAATCTGACTTTAGATTTGACCTTTGACCTTCAATGACCTTCTCAAGGTCAAAAAGGTCTTTTTTCAACTTGCTTCAAATTGACTAATCTTTTTTTCAAAATCATCTACATGTTCTCAGAAATTCAAATCTGACTTTAGATTTGACATTTGACCTTCAATGACCTTTTCAAGGTCAAAAAGGTCTTTTTTCAACTTGCTTCAAATTTACTTAATTTTTTTTCAAAATCATCTACATGTTCTCAGAAGTTCAAATCTGACTTTACATTTGACATTTGACCTTCAATGACCTTCTCAATGACCCCTGTTACACAGGCCAGTTGAAATGCTTCGTTACGAAGCAATTTGACAAAAAGCTTCGTAACGAAGCAATTTTGGGCCAGTGAAACACCTCTGCCTTCGTTAGAAAAGCTTAGTTGGGGGTTTGCGCGTGCGTGTATATCTCCAGCTTCCTGTCTTCTGATCATTGAAACTAATCATGCCTCCAAAGAAACATACGGAAAATATTCCTAACCAAATAAAAGAAGAAAGGGTAACATGGTCTACTCAAGAAATAACACTTCTCTTGGACATTTCTGTCTTTCACTACTAATTACCGTTTTTTCTTTCTAAATTACACGTAGGATTTGTCCAGTTGAACTATAATATAAAACCGCACTGTTCAAGTCACGGAACAATATGTACCTTCCTCGGATAACGATGAACGAACAACCCCCCCCCCTTTCTCTATTCAAGCACGACACACCATATCTCCGATCCAGGAAGTTTAGTTCAGCATATACCTATTTCATTTAGGCTAGATTAAATAATTCTCTGTCAGCTTGCATTTCTGATTGTTGATACCCCGTCGACTGAGCTCAGAAAGCAGAGTGAATGTATAATATTGTTTTCCCCATTTCTTGCTTTTGCCAAAATTCCATTTAAATAACACGACGCGATCATTTCATAAAAGCCAGCTAATTAAATCTCAATTGCTTCATACATTATAACATTTATAATATATTAAAGTGTACTTAAAATCCATGATATAATTTGGAATGGCATAATGGAAAAGAAGTTACATGAGAGATGGGCCATTAGATATCAGGAGGGGACAGACTTTTCATTTATATGCTAAACTTGTATTTTGTACTTTACATTTGGATTTACTCATTTATATCACAATTTAACATTTTTATAAATTGTTTTTGTAGATTTCCCTATTTTATATTATTTGAAATTAGTGTGAGACATACATTTGTTTCGCTACGTGAACTATTATTCCCGTGTCAGAGTGTTTTATGGTACACCCCTCTCACTCACGGTTAAATGATTAGATGACAAAAAGC